GATATCCCAATAATTTGTACAAATTTTTACTGAATGTTGTTCGAAATCATAAAAGTTCAGTGATAAGAGAGGAAATGTTGGCAGTTGTTTACTGAGTACTTATAATTCTTACTGGTAAAATTTTACTCAATGCAATGTAAAATATTTTCAAATTTTCGGAAAACAATTCTGTATATACCCTACACAACTATGTTGTCTGGGTATTATAGCTTTGTGCAGCCCCAAGAGTTTGTAACGCCGCGAAATATTGGTCCTAGACCCACCTTTAAGTATACCGATCGTCATATATCGACTAGCTGAGTCGATCTAGACATGTGTGTCCGTTCGTCCGTCCGGACGTCTGTCCATTATAATTTGTAAACACGATACAGGCCACATTTATGGACCAATCTTCACGAAATTTTGCATGTAGGATGGGTTCTCATCAATGAAGAATAAGCATGTCTGCTTTGATAAAGATCAGTCATTATTTAGCGGGACAAATGGACTGAGACTTTTGTGTAAAAAATTACAAAATTTTAATTCTATGGCTTATATATTTACTCCTGAAGGATATAGACCCGATAAGTTGATAGTATATCCAAGAGGAGTGGTTGACCTTAAATTGATACCAAATATATTGATGTATCCATTCGGAAGTGGGAGTTACACTTAAATATTTACAGGTGCTTTCGTATTCAGATATTATTTAGTAACTCATTACCACATTAGAGGGCGGAAATATAGCGCTGATTGCTTTGACATTTTCCATGAAATTCCAATTATGGTCAAGGACAACGCCTATAATTTTCGGTGATGAAAACCAAACCGAAACCGAAAACTTAATTTCTTTGTGTGTTTTCAGTCGAATATAAGCCAAACATTACAACCCAACCCACCGTGAAGGGAATCTGGACAATTAATTAGAAGGGCTGTACTGAATATTAGTAATATTCGGAAAATATTTCAGTGTAAGGTAGAGGTGCTGTTGACCTCTAATCGGGCAAGTCGGAGCAAATATCACGAAGTATCGCCCAGGGTCGGAATAAACATCCACATAACACTATTTATTGGCCTTGGAGGCTTTAGTGTTAAGGAATGAATTTCAATAAATAAATAAAGTTAGAGCACCGCGGTAGTTGTGTAGGATATCGTATGGACGGCCCCGTCTGAATATACTGCTCCGCTCACTGTTTTTTTCTTTTTTTTTTTTTTTTTTGAGATTTTAGCATTGATATATAAAGCTTATCAATACTTAACATCGTTGTATTATGCAAACTAATCACACCTATTCTGTATGTCGTCGTCGACACGAAACGACGTCGAAGTGAATCGTCTTTTGCAAATTGGTATTCCCTATGTCGTTGTCGACATTTATCGATAACTATTGAAACATTTTTGGTATTCCGTAACAATGTGTGACGACGACGATGTCGAAGATTTCTTCGTCATAGTTTTTGTTGACGACTGAAGCGTTTGAACATTTTTTTTTTTTTTGAAATTAAAAAAAAAACATGACCGGACAAGAACAGGATACATCATTCTAGAATCTATTCAATACTTAATGCAAAATAAAGTGTAAATAAAGAAAAATATATGGGATCTATATATAAATCTAAACCGATTTTGACCAATGTCAATAGGACTCGTCTATGTGGAAATAAAATTTCATCCCAATTGGATGGATTTTTTCCAAATTTCGTCCCGTTCGGATCATAATGGTGGCATGTAACTTGTTTAAAATAATACATGAATGGAGGGACATGCATAAATCGGCTGAAAAATAATTCTATGTACATACTATATACTAAAAAGTAACTATGGGCCTATCTCGTTTCTTTTTGGTCGTTGCAAACACATTTACCAAGACATAATGCCCTGTGCCACAGTGCGGTGAAGGATACAAACACATTTTCGCCCAAAAATATGCAACAAAATTTTTATTTTTATTGATATTATCGATAAATAGTCGACATCGTCGCATAAGTGTTACAGAATACCAAATCAGTGTCAAAGTGATGTCGATGTCGATGCGAAGTGATGTCGAAAGAGAAACGTCGTCGACAACGACGACGACATACGGAATAGGGGTGAATATTTAATGTAAAAAACTTTATATTGCGACGCGTGCATTTTGCGAAAAGAAACTTGCTGGATCTTACTAAATATCGACGCCTCCGAACCATAGTATGTTAAGTCGGCTTAGCATGTTTTAAAGTTCTTTACGTTCTTAGATACTACGGTCCTTTCTTTTAATTTCTCTGAATTTTTGGTAATCATCGGCCAATCCAAACCAAAGTTATAAGCAAAAATGGCACGTAAGATTCAAGAAACTTCCATACTTTGAAAGCTTCTACTGAAAAACTCACTTTTCAGACTTAGCATACTATTCTTCGGAGGCGTCGATATAACGATAATTATTTTCAATATTTCCACTTGAGAGAGCAAAAGCCGCACACAAATGCTACCGAGTAAGTTTTTTTATAACAACAATGCTTAAAACTAAGTTTAAAATCATAACGAAAGACTCAAAAAACAACATTAATGATCCAATTAAATTCAAATCTAGGATCAACAATCAAACCATTGACGACGATGAATTTCAGTATTACCCCGATCACTTTTTATAAAAGGCTTGTTCGTCATCTTGTATGATAATTTCTTTTCCGAATTGCACATTTGTATGACGATTATAGTTTGCCATAGCTAAAATATATATTATAGTTATTTTTTAAGACCTCTTTATGTATAGGATTTTAGTTTTGGTTTTTTATGGATTTATTTTGGACATGTCTGAAGTGTCCCTTTGTTAGGGAAGTTAATTCATATTGTTAATCATAATGTATCATCTTATTCGGCCTGAAGGGTTTGTATACATGTTATTGTGGAATAAAAATTAAATTAACCAAAAAAAAAAACACACACACACACAATACAAATTTCATTCGATGTAGTTTCACTACTTCCTGGTAAACATTGCAATAAATACTATTAAAAATAAGTGGACACTCACACAACATACAAAAATACCAATGAACTTGTTTATTGAAATTTTGATTCTAGGTATCAATGATTCGAGTATTTGACGTAACAATATTAAAATTCAGTATAAAACTAAGGATTCTAACAAAATATGTTTGTGACATATCTTGTATTGTTAAGAAAAACCATATAGAGAATACATTAAGGACATTAAATGGATTTTAAAAACAATTGCGATTTACCATGGAATGTGAGTCAAATAAGAAACTTCCCTATCTTGATGCAGAAATGTACAGAAAAGATGGCGCAATTATGTTAGATGGGTACCAAAAACCCTCCACATCAGGGAGAATAATAAATGTTCATTTTAAGCTCCTAGTAGACTGATAAAAATTAACACAAAGGTCGTTATATATTCAAGGGCTCTCAGAACGATTTTCGTACTCAAATATGTAGGACAAAGATAAACACCAATTGCCATTAAATAGCGCAGTACTAACTACTTTTTAGTCAGACAAAGGCAAAAATTCCAACTGACAACAAATCAAATGTTTAGTTTACAAAATATCATGTAATGGAGACGAGCCCAACGTATGTCAACACTACAAAAACTAAGTTAAACTAGTCTTAGTGCTCACAAATCCGACCAAAAAACAGAAACTAGCACTTGCAGCACACTGCACTTTAAGTAGAATTTCAAAGTCTTCGTTAAGATCTTGGCGCAAGAAAGAAATTCAAATAAATTCACATAATTAACGTTCCCGCCAAAAAGTGGATGAGTTTTAAAACAGACACCGAGAACTCACCAAATATACCGAAATGTCATAAAAACATCAAAATAGAAATAAAATTTAGTTAGATGTCCCTTGTGGAGAAATAAATATGTTACGATTGCAATCCAGTTTGTGGATAAAAATGTAATTATTATTGGCTATATTTATGTATCAACAATGCCAATTTTCATTTCATGATAAAAACTCTCTGATGATGATCGTCGAAGACGATCGAAATATAGGAAAGAATATAAAAACACATTCACGATTTTTTATTTCTAAGATTTTAAATGGGCTGGTAAATGAAAACTAATGCTTGTTAAGGTTTGTAACTTTGCACATATATTTGCAAATCGCCGATATTTGACCACAAACTAATTTAAAAAATAAGGAAGATCTTCACCGATTGGCTTTATCCTAGTTCTTACGATAGCAATATACTCACAGAGAAACGTGTAAAAATTTGGAATCGATTGGGTTATTACTTTTTGATTTATCGTGCCCGCCATTCGCAAAAGAGAAAAACACGTTTAAAGTTTGAGAAGCCCTTTAGCCGTCACTTGATGCTGACACAATAAATCGGCTATATCTTCAGTTCTTGAGATTTTCACTTGAAATTTTGTACGGACATTCTTGAATTAGTGCAGATTCGAATTAAATCAAAAAAGTTAAATAAAGCAAATATTTTCTGTCACAGTTGTTGTATCGAAACATCTTAGAGAACGTTTCAGTAATTTTACCAGATCAACTGTCAAATCTGTAACAGAGGCGAACATTATATTTTCATATGAAACAGTTTATCAACCTGTAAATATTACCGGGGAAAATACGCTGATAAACCTACTGTAAAGAAAAAATCGATTATCATCATATATTAATATTACTTTCCAAAATGTGAATTTTAAATGTTTCAATTCACTTATTGAAACTATTACAATTGTGGTGGGAAGAAATATTTTTATAATCATATTTGTAACCTCATATTGTAAAAAGATCTTGATATTCCTTTCAATTTTCGCGATATATTCCTTATTAATATATATATATATATATATGTCAAATATTTTTATTGCAAACTGTGCAATTTCATAGACCCTGTAACAAAAGAAAGGTGTTGTTCTTTTTTATGTTTTTTATTGATTTCAGATGAAGGTACTATATTTTTATAGCGTGGACTTAACAATTAAAATCTAAACAAGTTATGTTGCGCGTTGACGTTGTAATTGGTTTATGCTTAATGTAGATAATTAAATTTATAATCAATGTTCTTGTCTTCATCAAATAATGGGCTAAATGTATTACTTAAAGATAAATTGCCAAACAATTAACTTCCAATCTCTTGCCATTTGAAACAGGACGACCCGTCTTTAGTAGGCGTGGTTGGCAACAAACAGTGTAGCATCTGCACCAGCGCCAACTACACTGCCGGCAACGTATTTGCCAACAGCAGCTTCACCATTACCCTAGAAAAATATACAAGTATAACGATTAAGGACACATATCAATATGGAAATCACAAAACAAAGTACGCAGTTTCGGTAGAGTTGACATATGTTCACGTAAATTTAGATCTTATTCCAATTCTGTTTCGCATCCTTTATTGCATTTCACAAGGGGTAATAGTCAGTGTATAATCAACGCATATTAATGTAAAAAATTGCACAAAGTCTTATTTGAAAAATCAAAAGCAGCGATAAAATAAAAAATAAACTCATTTATGAAAAAAATTCCATCTGGGAAAACTCGAGGAATGTCGTCTTAAGTCCTCCTTCATAATTAGGTAAATGCGAGAGGAAAATAAGCCAATTTGTATATAGGTGTAATATTAGTACTTGTGCTGGGCTACAAATAAACTTGCATTTGCGGCAAACGACGGAATTGATCCGGCTTCATATTTGCCTTGGCATGCAAGAGCGTTTGCCTGAATAATGTAAAAAAAAAAACAAAACAAAAAAGTAAACAAAAAATCTAAAAAGTAAAAATGCCACCAAAAACCACTATGAAAGTATGATGATATTTGTGAATGATCCTTTTTAAGTGCTTATATAAATAGCGCAAATGCATGGTATGGTAATGTGAGTGATAAATAATGAAGCAATGTGCTAAATACGCGTGATTTAATCCACACATATCGAAAAAATGTTTTGGAATGCTTTGTGGGGTTTAAGTAAGCAATTTTCCTGCAACTCTATTGAGTTCTTAGCAGCAGAACTGCGTAAACACCGATTTTATACAGTCTCTGTAGGGACTACTAGTACTTTTTTAGTTATTAGTGGATTCTTATACTGTTTTATATGTTTTTTAATAATGTTTGTAGTGTATGGGTATGATCATTCTGAACAAATAGAGACCGAGATGAAATCTAGATCGAAGAGAAAATGTTACCATTAAATATGAGTTATGTATTTTGCTTTCTCCCTTCTGATAAATATTTTAAGACATTTATGTGTATATTTAGTTAGTAGAAATTACAGTAAAATCTTGCTAATCCGGAAACTGATTGCATTGTATTATCAAATAGGTTTACATTAATATTAGTTTAGTAATAATTTAATTTATTTATTTTATATTTGGTTTTAATCTTAGGTTTTTTTTAAATAGATTTGCAACGATTAAAAAAAACTCATAAAAAATAATTTATTTTCACAATTTGGATTTTAGAGTCAAACAATCTGTATTATAGAATACGCAATGAGTTGTTCAATGTAGTGCGGATTATCAAGATTTTAACGCATATTAACATTTTTCATTTCATTACAAATCTTATGCAGCAAAAATATGGAAAGAAAAAAGAAAAAAAAAACATGCAAGTGGCAATCATGATACATTGCCGATTTTCTGTTTTAGTTTGGTATATCCTCTTTCTGTCCATCAGTATATAGGTAATTGTAGGGATCCTACCCAAAATTTTAAAAACCCATTTAGTGAATAAAGCCATTAACTATCAGATTACCAATGAATAGTCCGCGATATAACCCTTAAATCATGCACGACCCTCACCATACACGAGTACTTACCTTGGCGCGTTTAAGTAATTCATTTTGACCAGCGGCAACGTTTTCCTTCTTTCCACCCCAGGCGCGGAGTACTGAGGCTTGCAAGGCACGACCATATGAGAAGGTTAAAGCCCATGGCTTCAACAATGGGACGTTATTAATGGCGTTCAAGTGAACGGAAGCCTCCTCTTCAGATTGGCCACCAGACAAGAAGGTGATACCTAAGATGAGAATTCTGTTAAAGGAGACTGCGATAGAGCAAAACATGACAATTATTTTTACCGGGAACGGCGGCGGGAACAGTGCGACGTAGAGCTGTAACGGTGGCAAAAGCAACTTGTTCTGGTGTGTACTTTTTAGCACAGGATTGTCCAGCTGTGACCATGTTAGGTTTCAAGAGAGTACCTTCCAAAAAGACATGGTGGTCGTTCAAAGCCTTGTAAACAGCGGCCAATACAGTTTCTGTAACCTTTTGTGCGCGATCCAAATCGTGATCACCATCGGGCAAAACTTCTGGTTCAACAATGGGGACAATACCCTGGGACTGACAGATGGATGCATAACGAGCCAACACATTAGCATTTTCCAAGATAGCTTGGTAAGAGGGGGTGTTTTTGCCAATCTTCAAAACACAGCGCCACTTGGCGAAATCACAACCGTCTTTCTTATACTGGGCACAGCGGCTGGCCAAATCGTCCAAACCTTGGGTGGTGCATTCATCTTCAGAGCCCATCAATGGTACAACACCTTTATCAACCTTGATACCGGGAATAATACCACGCTTCTTCAACAATTCAACGAATGGAGTACCATCATCGGCCTTTTGGTACAAAGTTTCGTGGAACAAAATAACACCGGAGATGTTCTCGGATACTTTAGGATCTGTAGTGAACAAAAGTTGGCGGTACTGACGACGATTGTCTTCAGTGTTTTCCACACCGATGTCCTTCAAACGTTTGCCCATGGTGGAAACGGACTCATCAGCAGCCAAAATACCTTTGCCAGGAGCAACAATAGCCTGAGCAATGCGGCTGAGCTCCTTTTGCAACTCTTCGGAGGGATAGCTGAAGTATGTAGTCATCTTGAGATTCGCTTTTCTGAAATGGGATACAGAATTCTAAATTAACTCAAACACACACATTCAAAAAATATCCTATTAGGTCATAGAAGGCTTCAATCAAGGTCATATACAAAATTTAATTAAACATTTCCAAAGTATTATGTGCTATAAAACTGTAGGTGTACACACTATGATCTGAGAAATATTATGGTTGTTTACAGTTGTTCTAATTCAGCAAAATATCTGCTGATTGTAAATTTTTAGGTAATACTTATAATTAAAGTTGTTTCTTCCTTTCGAGATATTTGTCTTATTTCTCTCTGGAGCATGATTGAGAAAAATTCGATTCTAATTTAAGTTGTATGCCCTTAATTTGTACATATGTTCTGCTTATTGTCACGATTTGTCATTTACTTGATAAACAAAACTTATTTTCATAGCTGTTCCTTGAATTTGGAAATCTAGCCTATCGATACATCTAATCTATAAATAAATATAAATTATTCATTAGTAAAATACTATTCACAATTGTTAATGAACTAACCGGAGTAGTATTAAAGAACCAACAATACTACACTATACATATCTGATTATTAATGTTAGATTAGTTTTTGGACAGTTACAAGACTTACACAGATAATAACTGTTTTTTCGAGATATTTGACTGATATTACTGGAGAGCACAACCTGCTTCGCTGATTTCTATTTGAAGACTGATGTAACAGTCATGCATTCAAGTTGTTGAAACACTACTCCAGTCCAGTAAAACACGAATTCCCCACCCCCATTACTTTCGCTCTGTGGTGCCTATATTCAAAACCGGCTCATGCGCTTCTGATAATTCCATTTTATGTACACATTTTACTGAATGAACGCCAATACAGTTAGGCACAGTTTTCGTGAGTTCATTGGTACTACTAACACAGATGGGGGTGAAACCACGGTGGGGTAGTTTGATATTTAGCCATACATTTTGTACGACATTGAAAAGGTCAAATTTGTTAAATGTTGCAGGCTTATTAAAGAGCGCAACATCAGTGTGTATACATATACATGTATATAGTGACGCTGGAGGGAAGAAAACGTTGACACCTTGACATTGAGTAAGAAGTAAATGGAAATTCAATGTATATATATATATATATATATATGTACAAATTCACATTTAAGCATATAAAAAGTCGTACAAAATCTAAGTAAATGCATTTATGTACATATACATTAATCACTTTTACTTTCAATTCGAAATGTTTATAAAGAACATTTGTTGCTAGGTATACATATGTGCTTCATAAACATTTCCCAATACATAATACTGTGTCGAGGCTATATCTTAATAAAACCTAACTTTGATTTTCCAAAATAACATAAACTGGGCCTATTACGAAAGGTACGTATCGCCCTGTCTATGCCAGTTTGGGAGAAACTTGAATCTTTATATTCCGTATACATATTAGGAATCATAATTAGATACGGACGAAACTTGTGTCTCAAGTTAAATTTAGAAAGCAGAAATATCTTGCTGATGAAGTTGTCCATGCTACATAAGTATTTATACTGATTATTTGAATAACACGTCGCGTGTATAGCTACACCGTGAGGTGAATTGAACCTTAAGAATTGTTTTTAACTGTGCGTGGCTATACACACATACGCAATTATGGTGACAACATAACAACAAATTAGATGACCAGGAAATATGTAAAAGCAATAGGACTGCTACAAAAACAACAACCAGCAAATAAAATAATAGTAGGTTTTTGTTTCCTGTTGGTGTCCCACTCCATTTTTAGTGGGATGAAGAGTTAGTTCTCGTTGTTCCATCTTGTTTTCGAAATGGGCCGTTTTATTTAGCCCATTGTGTGATGATTACGAAATACAATGTAATTGTTTTACACTATTCACTCCCGCCTGCACACAAACACGTACATCTCTATACACATTGTTGGAAATTCACGTAAGGCTCAACATTCTCTGCTCGATGTTCTTTGGCATTCTGTATATTTTGGTCACGAATTCACTTTCACTTCTGGATTTTGGATAACTTACCACTAACGTGTTCCAAGAAAATGTATAAATAGTTTTATTGCGATTAGGACTCCTTGTTTTGTCTGCTGCCGCTGCTTCTCTTCTGGAGGAGGACGACTGAAATGCGACTTATATTCCAAATAATCTATAGATAACAAACGTCAAACGAAAAGGTTGTTTGAAGGTCGTTTGTGGCTAACAGATAACAATGTCGATGGACTTTCAAATGCTGCCGTTTGCCGGACGACGATAAGAAATATGTAAGCGGCACAGACCAACGGCGTTGATAAATAATGACAGCGTTGCGTTTTTCTCCTAACCTTAAGCAATAGTCAATATATGGCCCGTTCCCGTACTCAAGTAGTAAAATATTTCAAAATTATAAAGGAAATCGAAATCAATTTCGATTAGTTCAAGACAAACAGCCTTACCTAAAATTCAACTAGCTCGTTCGACGTTTTTCACCACAAAAGTAGAATGCATGTATTTATATGAATGTTACCGAAATACGTCGAAGGTACAAAATTTCAAGTTGAACAATTTCAAGTTTGACAGAACGTATTTTTAATTTTTTCTTTTCTTGAAAATAAAAAACAAAACATTGATGAAATACAAAATTTCGAATGGAACCTTAAATATTTGGATTACTTTAATACATTTTCAATTTTATTTTGCGGTTTGTATTATTCGCGTAAACATATGGATTCGAAATATTTGGGTAATAACAACATTTTGCCACAGTGGGGAAGTTGAATATTTTCGTACGCTCCGTGGATAATATGTAAAGTTGAAAGACATAAAAGTATATGGTCTGTTTCCGTACTGCAAAAATCAACTAGATTTCACTATTTCGATATCATAAAGAAAAATTCATTATTGTGAACATTATGCATTACGGGAACAGACCAATAAAGATATGAAAACTCATAAGTCGACAAATTGCAATAGATGGCGTTTTCTGTTGTTATGATATCGTAAAAACAGAGCAAGCAATGTCAAGCGTTTTTAAACTCTATATCGCATTTATAAAGGGCCCCATACACTATAAATCATGCCGCCATGCCGATGAACCCCTTTGTGTATATGTGAGATTGACTAGTGTATGGCAAACTCGTCAATCATTAATCCAAAAAATCGATTTTTGTCCCAAAAATTGAATTTTGAGTCGTAAATTCAGTTGTTTTTTATACTGTCACAATTCTATTATTTTTGTACACAAAATTATTTACTGACAACTTTGAAAATGAATACTATTCACCAGATTTTCTTCATGCATTGTCCGTGTCACACATACGATAAAAAAAAAACTTTCAAACAATTACACATACTATGATAAATGCTGTACGGCATGATGTATAGTGTATGTGTAGGACCCTTAAAAATTTGAAACATACATGGTATATAATTTTGAGCCCAGATATTCGAACATATTTGCATTTGAAACAGAAGTTTTCTCTTATTGGCGTTTTTATACGTAGCATGCCTCTGTTATTCTTGAATCCCTCTACACGTGTTTTCGTAAACTATTTTGTCAGAATACATTTTGTCAAGAATTTCTACGGTTTCTATGTCTTTGTTGAAGATTCTTGCAGGTTCCTAACATTTTTTTTTGAGAATAATTGTGGTGTTTCCGTATTTTTTAGGACTGTATCTAATTCCGTGGTTTTTTAAGCAAACTTGATCTAAATAAACTAAAGTTGAATTAAATTACTCAGGTATAAAACTAACAATGGCATTCCTTAATCGATTTTATGTAGAAATCCAAGAAATGTCATTAAGTTTTCGTATTTTTAGTTATATGTTGAAAAAAATGTAAAGTAAATACAAGAATGTGCTGCATATATTTCTTTATTAATAATCAATGTTTTGTATTTTTATTTTATTTTAATTTTCGTGATTTCATCCAAAAATCCACCTTTACGTAATTCTACATAACCTGTCCTACTTCGTATCATTTTAACACTTCTGTAAACAGTTAGGATTTTGTACATCGATGCAGACATAGACATATGGTATGTTCTCGTACTGCAACAATATACTAGATTTTACTACGATAACGAATTTTCCTTTATGATATCGAAGAAATTGGTAAAATCTAGTAGATTCTTACAGTACGGGAACAGACTAATAGTGTTTACGGTTTGACAAACACAGGAAAATAGTTTCATGGATGTAGTCGGCTGTAGTTGACATTCAGTGGGTATTGCCAGCAGTAGACTATATTTAGTATAGACATTCACCAATTGGAAGGTAAACACGGCCTGCTAACTTTCCATTTCAACCAAACGGCGTGTAAAATCGGACGTTTTAAATAAAACAGCATAACGGTATAATATGGAAGTGTCGATAAACTCCAACAGATGGCTTTAGCTCTGTTATGATATCGTAATCTGGAAACCTGTAGGAATATCGGTCAAAGACATAAAAGTATAAAGTGTTCTGCCTATTTCCGATAAACCGTGCTATCCTATTCATTTAATATCATGTTGATACGGACTAAGATATAAGATGGAAGTGTATCTTTCTTTCTAATAAATACAATCCTACTTTTTGGCATTTTCGCGGATTAAAATTAACAAACACAAAAGAAAGTAAAAAAGTCAGTCGGTACTGCCGCCAGATATATATACCCTCAGCCTATGGTTCATGTAGTTCTACTGTATTAAACACATGTGGCCATCTGCGGGAGGTACCAGAATGCCTTGCTTTATAGACCCCAACTTCGGATCTAATGTAGATTTGGTCAAATATTACGATGCCCAAACAATGAATCAATTCAATGCACTTCAAATTAAATTTACATGTTTTTAAAATGTTGACCAATGGGTCCCATCTTCAGACTTAATCTAGGCTTGGTAAGCAAATTACGATTTGCAAAGTTTGGATCAAATCAGACATTCAATTAGCTTTCTATTGGATTAATAAATGTTAAAAATGTTATACTCGCTTCGATATGTTGTAAGACATCCGAATGCTTTACTTTCGAGTATTGTTCTTCCGGTTTATTCATTTGAGCATTCTCGGTTAGTTTATAGCTTCAAAGGAACTGCCACTCTGAAATGAAACCTATTTACCAAATATATCTCGTATTGTATTGTAGTATTGAGCATGTGAACCATTTCCATTTCTGGTTCCAATAAGACCTTCGACTTTCCCCAATAGAATTTAAGATCAATCTTTATCATTCTAAGTAAATCGTTTTTCTCACCATTAAGGAATTGAGGATTCAGGCAAGCATGCGTATGCCTGACAATGGTCTTCATTCCTTCTAAGTTTTTTTTTTCAGGAACACTCTGTTTGGAGTTGGGAGAAAAATAAATTCAAATTAGTTTTTAAATTAACTGGTCATCAACACTATAAAACAGAGGTGTTCATGTTACTCGCATTGGTATTTGTAATATACTTCCCCGCTATGCTTAACAAAGACAGATCTAAATTGGGAGAGGATACGTTGGTGTGTGTTTTTTTTTTTTCACGAGAACGTTTATCAACCATGTTTGATTGTTGTAGGGATCATAATTTTTTTTCTGGTCGTCTTACATGCTGTCGGCACCCAGTGTCCCCATATAAAACAAATTTGGACTCGTCCGACCATAGTGTCATCATCTATTGATGATAGGGTGCTACCTATACGGTAAACGTATGCATATTTCCATCGGATTTCACATTAAACCCACAAGACTAATTTTGTTCACAGATATACTGACACACATTTAATTTATATTTTAGCTTGCAACGGTTCGAAGGTAGACTCGTTACATACGCCATACAAATATTGCGAAATTCTTTCTGTCAGTAACAGAACGGATGTTAATGCATTTGCCCAGTGCATCTTCAAACAAAACAGCTGACATATAAAAGCTATTACAATTTCCCGTTATTCGAGGAATACAACTGAGAGAAAACTAAAGCTTCTAGCGGGCTGGAAGAAAAGTAGGCTGTTGTGCGCATGTCTTCCTTCAGTACTTCGGAGTGATTTTAAATAACCATTTCATTTTGAATAACGAATGTATCACCGAAAACCACATGCTTTGAAAAAAGTCTATTAATTTTGCCTAAATATTGTATACAATTTGTTTGAAGCGGCTCCTCTTTTTTTTGGGGGGAGACCTTCATCAGCCATTCTTCCACTAGTTGACATATGTTTGATGTTTCTCCTATGAGACAAAATAGCTTGAGTGGCTTTGTGTCGGATTGAGAACACTACACTTGAGTTCAGTTCCGTCTGAAACGCTGAACGGTTAAGTTGGATTCGTTGAGCTGCATTTTCGTCAGACGTTGTATCTTTTCCAACAACAAAAACCAATACACATATCTAAGTGAACGAATATTTTAGCTCGTCGGGACCGAAATTTATAAATATGTATGTGCATGCCGCTTTTAAAGTTAGATCGAAATAAAACACACCGCGAGAATTCTAAATAATAAATTGATTCGGCAATGTCGGTAAATACACAAATTCCTTCTTTACCAAAAGGAAGCACGTGTTGCACTTGGCGACAAGTAGGTTGTTGGAACCACTAATGACCAAATGTATGTACCTGTGATAAAAAAGCTACACGCGAAGCAAACATCAAAATTAAACAAATCGTCTGGCATATTTCTTAAATCAATTATTGGATATACGGTTCGAATTGCGCCATAAATATCACGCCAAACATGTTTACACTCCACCATTCCATTGGTAAGTTCAAAAATACGCTCTGCACGACGATGATGAAAGGTCGCATTTAACAAGGCCACACACTCAAATATAACGAAATGGTGGATTGACACATTCCGTACTTGGAACTAGGTATTCTCTCAAGTGGCCCTAATTCATTTTTAATTTCCCCTACGTATAGACTAAGTGACCTATGTCGCCAATGGATAAAATATCCTTCTGATACGTTTTAACGATACGCCAACAATTATGCTGATAAGCACATGCATGTTATGCTTAGTGGGGGGAATTTCAAAGGAATATTGATTTCTGCCATGTCGGACTGCAGTTGAATGATTTATATTTAGATGAAAGTCAAAATCATAATCCTTATTTCAGATTGATGTTATGAATACCGGATTATAAGAAATAAATTAATGTCAAATGAATGTTTTAGACTTTATGTTAAACAAGGTTAAACGAATGTGATGCAATATGAAAACGTTCATATTTATAGTTTTTTTTCTTATAAGTAAACATGCCGTTAAGTTCGGAAGGGTCGAACATTTTATACCTCCACAATGGTGGACATTCAAAATACTTAAAGCCAATCGGGTTTTCCAGGAGAAAACAAAATACCAAACTATAGACACTCAGGTTGGACTAGTACCTTGAACATACATAATTTTTGTTGTTTGATTTGACATCCAATAATTATTGTTTTCTACGGCGGTTTTGGTGATAAAAAGTCCACTTTTTTTCTCATTATAAATGGATCTTCCCACACATACGGCAAAAGCCTTCGATGTCGAATTGATCTTTAGGTAATTTCGCAATATTTGAGTTTTTAATTGAAAATTGAAGATGTTTTGTGAAATATTTATTGAATTCTAGTAGTTCTAGCAATTTCTGGCATGTTTCGACTTTAGAGGCCCATAGTTACCTCCCAACGTTTACAAACTTGAATTGGGAAAATGAGTCCAATCACAAATTTTAATGTTTATATTAAAATACAGCCCATAAGTCATATGACTATATTTTCTTTCTATTATTTTGTCAATAAAAATGATATTTGATCACTAATACCACCTAAGAAAAAATTTCAGTTAGAGAAAGAGGAAATACAGTAAAGTACGGTTATAGCGAACTAGTAGGGACCAAGTAAATTAGTTCGTTATAGAAGAAGTTCGCTATATCCAATGTAAGGCAAATCCTAGGATTAGCAGAAAAATATATATTTAGTTCCGAAATATGCATCTTTTGTGTCATTTTTGGCAATACATAAGCTGCTCATCTTTTTCTTTGATGAACCTAACATTTTCTGTGAAAGTTTGCCAGCGTTAGCGTATAAATTAATTTTTGTGTGAATTGTCAACGTTAATTATTTTGTATTTTTATAGCAAGTTCGTTATAACCGAATTAATATAAAAGAAAACTGGAAGATGGGGCCGAATAAATAGTTCGTTATAAAACAAGTTCGCTATAAAAGTAAAGATTTGTATGAAAAATGTGCCCTAAATTTCAGGACCAGGAAATGTGTTCGTTAAAAGGGAAGTTCCTTGTAACTGATGTTCGTTACAAGCGTACTCGATTGTATAAGTAAGTAAAATATGTACTTAACTATACATTCAAATTGATGAGCTAATTATGAACAATCCGCCTTTCCATTCCGACAAAAAATGCGTTCAAACGGTCCTTTTTAGTTTGTTTCTATTATTTTTGCCAGCAATGTGTACCCTTTATGGGATCTGCGACGGTTATTTAAAAATTTTGCAAATACGGTTTAAGGAATTTTGGATTTTCAGCTGGCAAAAAAATCTAAACGTGTCAACTATTTTCTACATATTTCTAATTTTTTCTTAATAGTCCCCTCAAAATTGTAAACTATTTTGTGGGAAATTTTTTGAAATTTGCCGCGGTTTTCATTATATTATATAATTCACTGATGGAAATATTGGTTTCGCCAAAAACCTAATAACGGATCTATCTGAGTACGAAACTAAGAAGAAAAAGTAAAGAAAATACGAGATGTTGACAATTTGTGTATGAGAGAGAGTTCCATTACCTTAATCTCTCGATATTTACAATTTTTTTCTAAACCCTGTGGAAAAGGATTAATGATAAACTCATAATGAAATAAATAATAACTTATGGATAAGAGAAGTGTCTCAATTGTTGCTTGGCCAAAACTAGAGCAACTCTACAGTACAAGCAGATTAGCTCTAAGAGTTTAGTTATTTTTACCGTTATAAACTATGTTTTGTTTTCTACACGTATTTTGATACTTATAAATTTTGACTTACTGCCAAAAAATATAAAAATGGCTAGAAACAAATACAGTCCACCGATAAAACAGATAATTACCAGTGATTGTGAAAATAATTTATCAGAGAAAATGATTTCGGAGAAACTTTCCATGAATAAATCAGTGATTTCTCGAATTATAAGTAGGTTTTATGCAACTGTATCAGTAGTGACAGTTATCACGGAGGAAGGCTGCAAAAGAACATCACTTCATTATAATCAACAAATTGTCAGAGAAGTAAATAACATCCATATTGGTGTTCAAAGGGATAGGCGAGAGGGTTATCGTTGAATATAACCTCAGGAACAGAAGCCTACATGCCAGGAAACTATCAAAAAATTTATTTTATTTCTGAAAAGAATCGGAAAGCCAGATTGTCTATCGCAAAAGTTCATACTAACTGGAATCCGGCTAAGAGAAGAAATATTATGCTCTCGAATGAATTAAAGTTAAATAGACAGACATAATCTCTTTCCAAGGTGCAAGGAGTAGTATACCCAAGGTTGAAATTGAGCATTTCATTGATTCATTGGCTCGTAGGTGTGCTGCCGTTAAGAATAATGGTTATACTGTCTGTCACTAGTAAAATCTGCTTATTTATAAGAAAAAATCAACAAGTAGCTTTAGTTTTGACCATGGTCAATTTTTTGCGTTTATATTATTTTCTTTTAAGGGGACCCCCCATTCTCGGGGTCAAAATTTTTGTGGATATAATTCGAATCTACACTGATTATAGAATGTCTCTACAAAATTTCAAGTGAAAATCTCAAGAACTCTTGAAGATATAGCCTATTTATTGTGTCAGCATCAAGTGACGGCTGAAGGGCTTCTCAAACTTTAAACGCGTTTTTCTCTAAACATTTTTTTGCGAATGCCGGACACGATAACTCAAAAACTAATAATCCATATTTTGGAACGTTTCTCTGGGAGTGTATAGCTCTCGTATGAACTAGGCGATTTCCCAAAAATATTTTTTCATAGGTCCACCATTTTGTTATTTTTAGAGCGAAGTCTATAATCCTAGTTCATACGAGAGCCACACATGTACTCTTTCTAACACCGTTGGAATTTTCGGATTCCGATGTTCCAGTGAGGAGTTATCATGCCCGCCATCAAAAAGAAGGACTTTTCTTTAATTACAAAAAACAACAACAAAACAATAACAATTTTTTTTTGTAAATTATTTTTCTTCTCTTTTAAATCTTCAATTATATATGTGAATGAATAATGAATAAATTACCATTTTTTTCTGAAAAAACTTTCACTATAACTTTATTTTGAAAAAAGTTACAGGTCATTTATTCCGTTTGCATTAGTTTTTGACACCAGTGTAGGTACTAGAATAACTGGTTTGATACTGATTCAGATAATGAATATTTTGTTTAAGGGAACCCCCCCATTCTCGGTTTTTTATTTATTTTATTTTTTTTTTAATTATCGAATTACAATTGAAATGGTTTGAACTGTATATGAAATAGGTGTACCTGAGCTAGATAGCCTCGTGAAATTTCTACTTTAGCCTCGTGAAATTTCTACTTAATGTCCACTAAGGCATCCTGTTTTGTATTCGCAGAAATACAATGCCCGTCTGTTAGATATTGCAACATTTAAGATCGAACGGTACCCTACTAATCGGTAGGCTACCGAAGGTATCACATCCCTTAATAAAATTTTAAATGTAGCCAATTTGGTTGAAAATGTGACCAAATTTCTAATAATGGGATTTTGTTTATATGGGACCTACTCCGAAACTTATGCCAATAATTATAGTTTTGGGTACGAATATGTCACAACCGATGTGAATTAAAAATACTTAATTGCAGCCAATTTGGTTGAAAACCTCGCCAATATTTCAAAAAAGCGCTACCGTTTTGGGGGATATAATTTGTAAACCGCGACTTACAATGATATAAAATTGTATATCAATTTGATACAATTTTTTCTTCTCTACCTGAAATGAACTTTTGCCAAAAAATGTATTCTGACCCAAATTTTGGTATTTTTTGGAATTTTGGGCTCTCATGGAGTAGAAATCTTCCTAATAATAATTATCGTGGAGCCATGTGTCAAGGGTAGATTCCATATAGCGGTACATCAGATTTGTCGGTAATTTTGGCACGTTTTTCTATCGATTCTAATATGATCTATTGAGTTATCTTTGGTTGTTATATTGTTAAATTATTCATAACTTTTTTGTTATTTTGAAATATCGAACCTTAATTCTATTCCTAAACGTCGACCGATAATAGTGTTTTGTCAGTCCTATAATGGAATATACGGATTATGTAGTTCTAATACACCACCAATTTTCATTTTAAATAAAGTACTTGGACATCGCATGAATAAGGACACGACACTTTTGTGAAATCCATACATAAGCATTGCGGATCATCATCGTCGTCATAGTTAATTTCTTTAAACCGAACATTCAAATTGTTTTTCGACTTTCCCTTTTCAGATATCCATGTAGCTACCGCGCCACTCTAAAAAAGGCAATGAAATCGCGCAAGCTCCCGAAAGGCTTCGTGCTGTGTGGCTTGAATTGTTTAACATTCGTTTACTTTCCGTTGGTTTTGCCGATAGTAACTTGTTCGACTAGTGATTTGGATTATCGGCTGCAACGCGTTAAAAACGTGCTAAAGGAGGTACCACTGATAGACGGGTACGTTATACATTATCTGATTTAATTCCGAATGTGTCAATTAGTCCTGGCCACCACATACAAATGTATCTCAATGTTACAATTTCATTGTTCCTGGACCTGCAAGAATCTTTAACTAATTGAATTATATTCACATTTTATCTGAAAAAAGTTGATATTCAACAAAAAAATAAAAAATTGCAATACAATTCGACAGCTAAATTATAAATTCAAAGCATTGCGAAATAAAATTGATTGTTGAATCGAATGTTATGAATTGCATCTGAAAAGGGTGTCGATTAAATAGTTTTTGAATTGTAATGTTGCCGAACCTGCAAGAATTTTAATCTTATCGAAATTGTGTTGCTGTCAACTTCATTGATTGGCTATTAAAATAAAATATTGACCCTCTGCGGGGTAAAGGAGATGGCCGATGGTTTCCATCTTCGTACATGATCTAGGCTTAGTAAAGAATATGTTGTACCAAGTTTTGCTCAAATCGGACATTCGTTTCGCCTAATATTGAAATTATATACCGATATTCCCCATCTTTAAACTTGTGCAAAGTTTGGATGAAATACTATGATGTGACTGAACCGGATTTGGTCGAATGAAACATGGGTTATAAAACCAACATTTCGTTCAGGAACATTTTTACCGTATCGAAGACGGACAGGTTGCCGAACCTGCAAGAATTTTAATCTTATCGAAATTGTGTTGCTGTCAACTTCATTGATTGGCTATTAAAATAAAATATTGACCCTCTGCGGGGTAAAGGAGATGGCCGATGGTTTCCATCTTCGCACATGATCTAGGCTTAGTAAAGAATATGTTGTAGCAAGTTTTGCTCAAATCGGACATTCGTTTCGCCTAATATTGAAATTATATACCGATATTCCCCATCTTTAAACTTGTGCAAAGTTTGGATGAAATACTACGATGTGTCTGAAACGGATTTGGTGGAATGAAACATGGGTTATAAAACCAACATTTCGTTCAGGAACATTTTTACCGTATCGAAGTGTATATACCCTCATTAGACGTAAGACTGAGGTTATACAAATTAATTTAGGGAGTTATTGTGATGCTTGTGTGTGTGTCACAATTTGTGTATGAATTTGTTATTGTAATTCGTCAATGAAAATGAAATAGAGACGAAGAAGCGCTTATTTTTATATGTGCATGTTGGTCGACAATTAAAATTAATTAACGTTTTTGGAACAGACATAACGATTTGCCATGGAATATAAGAAAATTCTTAAGAAATCAACTCAAGGATTTTCATTTTGGCGGCGATCTCAGGCAGGTTCAGCCGTGGTCAAACAGCGCTTGGAGTCATACCGATTTGAGGCGGCTAAAAGAGGGCATGGTCTCAGCACAGGTAAGTGCATAATTGGTGGTTTCACTCCTTTTATTGTCCTACTGTGAGAACTTTTGTGCACACAACAGTTTTGGTCAGCATACGCCCCGTGTTCGTCTCAGCACTTGGATGCTGTGCAGTTGACATTGGAGCAAATAGATCTTATCAGACGTCTAGTCAACTTATATCCGCACCAGATGACACTGGTAACAACTGCCACAGGTAAGAAAATACATAGGTTCATGCTTGTTTTTAAGGGATTAAAATGCAGTCCCGGAAGATATCGAAATCGTTCTGGAATATAGTGGTGTATAAAACGAAATGTAATGTATTAAAGACCAGTTCTACAGCCTCGCTAGCAGATTCATTCTCATATTTTTTTAATATTTCACAGAAAACTAGTTCAATAATGATTGTACATGCCTCAAAACAAAAAACATAACTCGATTGCTGATTTGCTCAATAATCGTCTTCACAGGTATCGAGAAAACACACAAAAGCGGGAAGATTGCCAGTCTGATTGGAGTGGAGGGCGGACATGCCATTGGAACAAGTTTAAGTGTACTTCGGATGTTCTATCAGCTCGGAGCCCGATATTTGACTTTGACGCACACCTGCAACACACCCTGGTACGTCTTAACTTAGTTCTGGCATCGTACACCAATAAACCTTTTTTGCGGTATCATTTGCAGGGCGGATTGCTGCAAAGTTGACGAGCCTGGAAAATATCCCCACATTGGGGGTCTATCAAAATTCGGAAAGGTAAGAACAACTTTTATCACTCATAATTGCCATAATTTATTTTTCTGTGTCTGTGTCGATCTGGGCGGCACAGCTGGTCGTGCAAGAGATGAATCGACTGGGTATGATTGTTGATTTGTCACATGTGTCTGTGCCCACTATGCTGGACGCATTGGGTTCCTCGAAAGCCCCCGTCATTTTCTCGCACTCCTCGGCGCATGCCATATGCAACAGTTCACGCAACGTTCCTGACCATGTGCTGCAGAGAATTGTAAGTTTCCCTCCCCCTCGGCGCTAAAATGTTGGCAAATATTTAAATACTAATTTTTTTTCTACGCTCCTTTGTATGTTCTGTATTCCAATTTGGCATTTGAATAATTTCAAGGCTATAAATGGTGGCCTAGTAATGGTGGCCTTCTATCCGCACTTTGTGAGTTGTTCCGGACAAGCCACGCTGCACGATGTTGTCGGTATGTAAATCATTTCAGCGCACATTCTGTGCTGGCAAATTTAATTGAATTTATATACTGGGGCTGGCACATCAACCGAAAACGAAACAAATGTAATTGTCGTGTGGCTCCGGGCGACGGTAGATGCCAGTCACCAACCTTCGACGACTGGATGGCAGAAGATGAAGTGACTGGCTCCTCGTCGGTCGGATGCTGGTCTTTGGTGTGCCGCTTACTACCACTTTGCCATAAATAATAAAGGATTTGTTCACTTGCTTTTCGTTTTGCATCAGCTCACATAAATCACATACGAGAAGTGGCGGGGATTGATCATGTGGGCATTGGGGCCGGCTACGACGGTGTTAATCTGTAAGTATCTGTCGGTGAGAAGTGTTGGTTCAGAGACCACTGTCGTGACCTGTGTATGGCCTGATATTTTCCATTTGTGCAATGCACATTAATTACAGAGTTCCGAAAGGCTTAGAAGACGTCTCTAAGTATCCGCATCTGCTAGCCGCATTACTAGAGTCTGAAAAGTGGTCTGAAGAGGATATTGCCAAATTAGCAGGGAAAAACTTAATACGGGTCTTTAAGGAAGTTGAAGCGGTAAGTGAACAAGGCGACTTACACTAACACACACATCTCAATATTTCAACATTGCACACACATGCAATCCTAAGGTTAGAAATTAATTTGTGTGCTGGCTTTTGGCGCTAATTAGAACATCAACGTAAAGTCGAAAGCGCGATTCACATCGATTATTGCGATGAGTGCGAACATATAGGCGAGATTTGATTTAGTAAGACCATAATAATGTTTTAAACTCACAACCACAACAGGAGTCCAACTCATTTGACAGGTTTGAGTAAGAATATAGAATGGTCTGCCTGCAATGAACTCAAAGTCGCTGAATTAAAAAGGTAAATGCCGCACAATACGTACACATGCATACAATCGTTGCAGGGTAGTATCCTTTAGGTGGCACAATTCGAAGTGGTTTCTCACCCAAACGAGGAAATAAAATCGTTTTTGTAGATATAAGGAGCCAAAAGATATATTACCTATCTGTAGAAGTCATAGAATCAGAGATAACTAAACTAAAAATATTATAACACTATCAAGTTTAACACCTATGGCTATAAGTTTTACACAATTTATATAAAATATATTGGGAGTACATATATATATAAATTATATATATTTTATTGGTGTACGTTGATTATTTACAGGTTCGAGACGAAATGGAATTGTTAAAGGTGCCACCTCTGGACCAATCCATCCCTGCGGAAGATGTGATGGGCAGATCCTACTGCCGCTACCAAGGTCCAAGAACGTGATCACAATTTCCCTATAATACCTTCGACGGCGCTGACCCATCAATTAGGATTGATGTCACTGGAGAACCGTTTTTTATGTCATGTTTCCTACACACACAAAGATAACTTTGCCATTACAAAGAACATACACTACATGTCCAACACTGTTACTCCCTAGATATAAAACTTCAATTTGGCATAATTATCTCCACAAACACTGACTTATAAATGTAATGTGTTCTCGTTCCCAGATGAAACTACGCATACTAAAGCCATCCCATGACATGGCTGACCATCGTTTTATGGGCTTTTGTTTACAACGTCATTGTGCGTATGATCGCGTCTCTCATGCGTGTGGGACAACCCCGATTGAGCATTGTGGCGCTGTCGGCAGAGCTTAGTTGCAACATCTCGGTCCCAGTATTCTTCTGGGAGGTATTTTCAACACGTTCTAGTGTTGCACAAAACCAACAACTAAAGTTAATTGAAAACAACAACTCATAAATTGTGACTTCATATCGTTCATCCTCCATGCACATAAGCACCTCCAAGTGCAGACTATGCGCATGACAAGGCTTTCATCATGCCCAAAACACACTCCCGCCAAATATATATATATATATATATATATATAGAACAGAACCACATGTCCGGTTTGTAAATATTAATGCGAATAAGAAAACCAAACACAAACAAAAACAATGATGTGATGATAAAGTTAAATTAATCAAACTCGAAGTAAACTAAACAAAACTATGTATTTGTTAAGGCGCGAAAGTTACGTTAAATAATCGATTACTAAATTATTACTTGCAGATGCTTGGGCACATTTAGGGTGTCCTCTGTTATATACTATTCTTCATACATACTCATATTGCATACATACCCATATAAATATACTACTAGTTGCATATAATATATACTGTTACCACATACGAATATGGATATCTACGAGATTATTGATATACACCACTGCAAAACAGTTAGTCCCTAAGACCATTCTCAATAAGATATTTATAAATAAATAAACAGTGACAACAAAAATATTTTATCTTTCATGAAACCAGAATGGAGTTTTGTATATTTTGGATGTCATGTAAGTACTGCCTATTTACAAAAAACATTCTCCCTTCATTGGGTTTTGTGGAATAAATTGTCGGATTGCAATGCATGCACAAAAAATAAAAAGCACACACACACACATGTTCAAGGATTTCTGATAATAGGTTCCTCGGGAACCCTTGTTCCACGGTTTGAAAATGTCAACAAAGAGCTACACGTTACAGAGTACATTCATAATATTTTAATATGGCAAAGCATTACACAAATTTTAATGAATGTTTTAATATAAGAAATTAAAAAATTATACAATACTTTAAGAAAATAATTAAAATTACAAATCAGTCAATTCGCACACTTTTGCACGTATAAGAAAATATCGAACTATTAAGCGATTATTGCGAAATTTTCTCCTTACTTAACTACAATATGAGTAGATGGTTAAGTTATAAAACAATGTTTCGTTTTAATATAGACCATTTGTACACATGTTCGGGAAAATGTATTAAAAATTAGACTAAAGGCAATATTTAATATTCATTGAGATCACACAAATAAATTCATAGACATAAGATCTGATGAAGAACAGATAGAAAAACTTCTTTCAGGTGATGCTGTAGTTACCGGAATCGTTATTAAGATTAGTGTATCTAATATTTGGGAATACATTTTCGTCACATACTACAATCGCATTACTTCTTGTTTACAATTTCGAAAATATTTGTCATAAAATTTTAAGATTTTTTAAATGCTTATATGAAAATTTTATAATTCTAAATTTCATAGCGTTTGAACCATTTTTCATTTCAGAAATCTGTTTGTCATATTTACAATTTGTTCGTCCAAATCCATCAATCCGTCATTACATTTGACCTGTACTTTTGTGAACCAACCATTCTTTTTTGGCACTGAAACTTCAACCCCGAATTTGTCCGCAATCATTTTTAATTCCATGTATATTTTGTGGAAATCCTCATCACTGTTTTGTCTTATCCCATTTAACGTATCGACTACTAAATTAATGTGATCATATGCACAATCACAATATTTTAATACCTACACATATTTTCACATTACCCACACGAAGAACGGAAAACTTCGTTTAAAAACTTCAAATGAAACACGAAATGACAAATAATTGTATTAACTTAATTTTTGTTTTCAGCAAATGTCATAAAAATTACAATATCCTTAAAACATTTACACAGTGTAAAGGACTAAATAGAAATTTTAAATACGCTGTGATGATGAATTTACGATATTATGCTCGATATGCTCGCACATTTCTGATTTTACATTTTATTTTTCGCAATTTGCAGATATTGACATATTTTTCACATTTTTTTAATAGTTTCGCAATTATGGCAAAAAGCTTTGGGCAAAAATCATTTTTTTTGATAATTATTCAAGAGTTTACCACACACCAGTCAATCTCACACATGTACTAAGAGGTTCGTCGGAAGGGCAGTATGCTGTCATTCCGACGAACCTCTTTGTGTTTAGGGATAAACATATACATACATTCGGGTGTGTTCCTTATGAATTAACATCTATACGTACATTACAATTTCGATCGATGGTCCTAAACGGTTCAACAAATACCCAGCAGAATTTACATTGATTGTCTTCCTAAATTAAATTAACATTTATTCGCAGCATTTTTGAGATATCAACACGATGATTTTTTGTTCTATAATACTGTCTGTTTTCATGAGCTATTCATACATATTAATCGTATAATATTGAAATGTGATGGATATACTTTCTTTATTCCATCTCCCATACATAAACAAATAGTCAAGTCCCAGCGTCCATGCGTATCATCGCGACAAAACATATGCACGAAGTGTATGTCTGTCTGTATCTGCGATGGGCAATTGTGGGTGTCCTGCATTACCCAACCGTTCGGCTTATCTGTATTTTAACTGCGCCATAAACACTTTACACGACACCAAAATAAACGAATGGATTCATCTACACTGCGGCTGTCACTTTTGTTTCAAATTATTCATTATGGCTTTTAACCGACTGACATTTTTAATGGTGTGGAAAAGGCAAAAGGCTTCGTGGGGGAGACACACAATGTCAATATTTGCATACAGTTAACCCTCGACTCGCGATGAGTTTGTTATGGGCCCCAGATTTGTCGGCCGTTTTGCACATCGTAATAGGGTGAACAGTGGGTACATAAGTTTACGCACCCACTCACATTGACATAACTTAAACGCTGTCATCCATTAATTTCAATTATATTACTTACACGAGCAGGCCTCCGTTCATCATCATTCTTCGGCAATTAAGGAACTATGTCGGTGGCCGATGTTAATTACCATTTCAGTTTCGCAATGTGCGGCGACACTGTGTTTAATTTCATTTGAAAGCGGTGACTCATAGGCCTGTTGACGATCTGTGTTTGGTATGGATGTACACATATATCTCACGTGATAACTTTAATGAAATTTCCGACTGACCTAAAGGGTGTGGAGGACGGCCTATAGAACTCATGTGAATGAACAGTGATGTCTTTTACAATGGCAAATTGCATAATTCCCATTTTTAAATTAGTAATAATTGGAATTTTCCCTAAACCAAATTGTTACTATTTCGATTATTAGCGGGTTGTATTGGACTGACTCGAATAAATACTGACCGCGGTTACCGAATCAGACACACTTAGAATTGAAGCTGTGGTACCTCGCAAACTTAGATTCGTGGTTTTGTTCCCAGTACCATTCATGGCAGTATTCCGTACATGTTTACTCAATTGTTAGCACTATGATTTTATGCACTAAAATACGTCTATGTGTGTTCATGGTAGAGCATTAAGTTCGGTCATGGGTAATTCGAAAAAAAAACAGAACAGAAGGGGGAATCTAAGTCAGTGAATTGATAGCGGCATACATACACATGCACATACGTACTTATAATTTCAAATGTTGCGTTGATGTCTTGATTTTTATGTTTGCCCAAGATGAACGATACCGTCATGAGTAGTTGCCGGAATAACAGGAATACAAAAACAGCTAACTGGGTGCGCTTACCCAGATACTCTATGTACCAGAATCCTGAATGTGTCTGCAAATAAATTTATACATGTAGGAAACGGATGTAAGTTCTGGAAAATTGTTAAGACGAAGTAAGGAAGGTTTCTAGAAGAGCATGTTAGGATGTGCCTGCATGTATGTGGATATTCATTTGCTGCTGTACGAATTGTGGCCAGTAGGGCGCCTACATCAATAATGTAAGGCCTCTGCAGGCCGAAAGAAGATTGCCTCAAATATATCGGGAACACTTCTGCTGGTCGGACAACAGCTGAATAGACGCTGTTACAAACAAATATATACACGTGCTTCCAAACATATGACTTTGTAAGCACAACGCACAGTGGGAAAAAATGCAGATCTAGCGCGCAGAAAATAAAAGTAGATGTTTTACTGTATGTTTATCGATATTTTGGATAAGAATAGATTTAGATGGACAATTTAAATTATTTTATGAAAAAATAGGCAATTTTTTTATTACTTAAATTTTTAGGTGAAAATTACTATTTTGAAGCATTTGAAACATTTTATAATAAGTAGAGATGGGCAGTGGGTAAATACCCAAAGGGTAAATACCCGGTAAATTGGGTAAATACCCGGTAAATTGGGTAAATACCCGGTAAATTGGGTAAATACCCATTTGTGGGTATTTATTTGGGTATTTACTATATTGAATCGGTAATACAACATCTTGCACCCTATTTCCGGGTTTCTGTTATCAAATCGATTTAGAATGAATAGTTTTACGATACTTTAAAGACGTGGGTAAAAACTTGGGTAAATACCCGAGAATGTTCTTTTTGGGTACCAAATGTCCATGCAAAATCTTATGTATGTAGGTCGGGAGGTACGGTTATATGGGGGCTATATCAAAACTTGGATATTGGATTTCTATATTTGCTTTGTCATTAGATATATGTGTGCAAAATTT